AAAATTATTACCTCTCGTGGAGTTACGTCGTGAAGACAGGTATGTTACAGATTTGAACGAAATCGCAAAATAAAATTACGGTTTTGTTTCAATGGCACAATTTTCAGGTTTCCAAGACGCGTTTCACGCGTTGGATCGTTTGACCAGTTACAAGTTTGACCTGCCAGTCGACTTGGCTGTGCGACAATTCCAGAACATAAAGGACGCGTTCTGATTGTACGATTTTATTGTTATCGTTATTGTTATGTAGGGATGTAGAACATACACACGCGTACTTTCAGTACTTTCTGTAACACGAGCTATAATACCGAGTACGGAATGGATGATAACGGTATACAATGCAAATCACTAGAAATAGGACACTTGAATAGTGCTCTTTCTCTCTCTCTCTCTTTCTCTTTGCAAATGTGAGAAGCTATAGAATGTAATTTAATTTAAATAGAAAAAAGCATAATTTTTTTAAAGATATTTTTCCAGAATTATTAAAAAAATCATTATTGTTTCCTTAACGAAAAACATTATATCGCTGTTAAATTAATTAGAATGTTGAATACGTTTAAAGCTATTTCAATTATATTTTTCGCACTGTTCATTAAGAAAAAAAAGAACTGTTTGAATATTCTGTTTCCGGTGACTCGTGTTGCACGCAAGAGCGCGGAGATCGTTCATATATGTTCAAAGTGTCGATATCACAGAAACGGTCCTTTCTTTAGTCCCTAAGTGTTCACAATACCAAATGCATATAAAGAGTTGAATAGTGATAACCAATAGGCGTAACAATGATTTAAAGTATTATCTCAGTATTCGTATAGATCAGTTGTGAATGTACAAACTTTGATTTCTGCCTATCAGGCAGCTGATATATACACGCATGCATATACGCATATATATGGTTCTGCAAGTATCTTGAAAGAATCTTAATTAAAATCTGCAATGCGTCTGTCGAGACACTTTCCAGTATTGAAAAAATACAAGGACTGAATTAAACGAAGCTAGTCACTTTGAGAAAGAATTATTTCACCTATCGCATATTTTACAAGCATTGCTGTACTTATGACGCGTTTAGCGAGAAGACGTGTACCAAAAATGTGTGTAATATCATCGTGACTCAACAGAGACTCGTTGCACCGAACACTGTTTGTATATCGTAAGGCGTTTTATGTACATCTACACATATAAGTTCTAGCATAAGAGAATATATATACATATGCATATATTATATATTGTAATATATACACAAGAGACGCAAACCAAACCTGCTTTTTATAAACGACGAATTATTTTCAATTAGTTCCGCAGATAGATTGAAACGTATAATTGTAGAAAATATACTTACGATGCAATGTGAAGGCGTGTAGCTCTGTGCAACAATATTTCCTGGTTGGTCTTCAGCTTCATACGTTAATAAACAAGGTTGTCCTAGAAATTTCAACGACAGTCCGGTGACGCTCTGTAAATAATTCCAAATAATATGAAATTGATTGTTTTTTTTTATTCCTCGTCAAGGTTGTACATATCGGTAATGTTTCACACTTGTCTTCGAGGCGTGCCTCGGCGGTACAGTTAGATTATAGAACTTCAGCGTGATACAATTATAGAACCTACACAACGGAAAGAAGAGCGCTCGAAACAGTACACGATCGGTAGTATATAAATCGGTAGAAATACAATATAAACAGTATTGTCAGCGGTTATTACAGACTCGTAAGACGCGCTATCGATTATTTACAGAGAATTATTATACCGATTATCTGTTGTTGGAAGAATTTCGTGCGGGTTTCCCACGTTAGAACATTCGTCGGGCAATTCTCCGAAGAGCCTAGGACTCACACGTCGCTATGTACGAACCCAATGAGTATACAATATAATGGCGGTAGCAGATTTTCTTGGTCGCAGACAACACGTACACATCATCCCGATAAGATAGTGATGCTTTAAAAAAAAAGAATATAAAGCGCAAATGTACAATGTAAAAAGACTTATGGAAGAGCATTGATCGAAAACTCGCCTCCAAACTGTCTTAAATTCACATTTGAAAATAGAAAACTTTTTCTTTTTAAATATGCATTTAAGGCGTTGTGGAAATCAATTCCTTGATTCTGTTTCGTTGTCGGCGCATTGGCAGCATAGCTTGACTTGAAAACATTTTTCTGCTAAACTAACGTATGCGTGCTTTGAACGATTAACTGGAACGGATATGTATATATACGCGCGCAAAATGTGTCGCTTCTGAAAATAAATCAAGCGACCAAAGCGAGGAGTTATCGTTACACGCAGTCTATGTAAACTCTTACGTTGCAGAAAATATTGAAAAAAAGAGATCATTATACTTATAGAGTACAGTGTGACTCTCTGTTGGCGTATGCTGCTTAACGATAAACATTTACTGGAATGTGATCGCGGCAGTGATAGGAATTACGGCTAGTATCGATCTATTCGTTTCCGGTCGTTGCGTGTTTAGCTGAAAATTATAAATTATCCCCCTAACAAGGCAGTCAATATGCGAGTCGAAGATCGCAAGTTACAAATAAGACAGCCGAGCAATCAGCCTTTTTTTGTCCACATCGTACACTATATTGTACGTGCTAATGCGAAACTCGACTGCTCCGTCGAATCTTGGCGAAGCATTGCGCGTCAAATAATAGTGTATGATTTATAAAAAAAAAAGTCTACGCGTCACGAATGTTGAGTTACAATATTTTTTCGCGAAAATTTGTGGGATTCGTATCGATAGGAGAATATCGTGATGCGCGCTTTCGTTTTCTCTTAATTTACAACAATTCTGCAGTGTGTACACGCACAGTTTATGATTCGCTTAACATTCCTCATAACTTCTCTCGTTAATCTCAGCACATTAAATATAAGTTTGATTTATCTGTAGTTTTTTTTGTTTTTTTGTTTGTTGTTTTTTTTTTTTTTTTTGGTACAGCGAACGATCTAACAACCTAACACACGTCTAACAATCAAAGAGCCTCTAAATGACGCTAAATACGCTTTTATAGCCACACTTTTATATTTATTTGTACAGACAATGTGCTTTACTCGTAAAAGCGTTACTTGAATCTGGATACCGGTAATTAGGGCTGCCGCCTTTTACACATTATCCGAAAAGATCGTAGTTTTAAACAGAGATAAAAATTAATATAAACAATTCGTAAATTTTTTAAGAGTATTATATAAAATTTTTTAAATTTTATATTTGCAGCAAACGAGAATAATGCGATAAATTCACTTATAAATATCTCAAAGCAATAGAATTTCACATAATTATTTTGCAAATTACGCGAAATTATATATATATATATATATATTAATTACAGAATAATTATATACAATTTTTTTTCAAGAAAGAAATAATACATAAATATCATACATTTTTGACGATTAAAAAGATATAAAAGATTTTTTCTTGAAACTTTATATATATGTATATAGAATTTACACCTAAGATAATTTTAGTTGCAAATATAATAAATATGACAATAAACATTAAAACAGCGAAATTATAAAAATGATCGAATTAAAATTATCTTTAATTCGGCCTATTTAATGCAGCAGACCGAAAATTGGAAATAGAAAACTAAATCCAAAGTCTCCAATTTTAAAATCAAGCAAGTGGCAGCCCCAATTGGATAATCGGAAGCTAATCGAACGATAAATCGAGCTAACTCGATATCCGGAAAAAAAGGTTTCCGGCAAAGTAAAAGAGGCAGTCTCAATGAGGACGAACATCCATCTTAGAAGAAGAAGTAGAAGTAGAAGTTATCGCATTTCATGCAATATCGCAACCCTTGTTCTACGCATTGGTCCTTTTCTTACCTCTCGTGACCGACGACCGATCCGGGAAAAATCCAACTGGGGTGGCGGGCATTCGCTCATGACACACAATACAGTATTACTTACTTGGAAATGTGATCGAGATAAGTGATGTGAGTACACACATAAATGATGTCCTTTAGTGTCGCTTAAATCAATCGTCACACATTCGTTCACACGCGAATGCGCAGCGGCACGCTATCGGACTTGCACTCCGCTTCGAGTTCCTGCCGGATGCCATCAAGAGTTTGATGGATTGTGCGGAAGGTCGGCCGGTCCGACGGTCGTCTGTTCCAGCAGAGTTTCATCAGATCGTAGATCGACTGCGGCGTATTGTCTGGACAGCGCAATACATTGCCTTCTTTGATATATTTGACCACCTCCTCGTGCGTCATCCCGTAGTACGGTTGCAGCGCGAAGCTGAAGATTTCCCATAGACACACAGCAAACGCCCACACATCTGACTCGACCGTATACTTGTTGTACAATATGCTTTCTAGCGGCATCCATCTGACTGGGATAGCGTCTTGCTCGTCTCCTATGTTGTTATTATTATTGTCAATATAACAATGTATGACAGACCATTATGTGAAGAGATACAAGATAATTGAGTTACAAATAATAATTAAAAACTTTAGCTATAAGATAACTTTGAACAATATAATTCTAAAAAATTACGAGAAATTGTAGAATGATTTTTATATTTGAGCAAGAAATAAACAAATTTTGTTGATAAATTGTCTAAAAAAAAGAAAAACTTTTTTTTCTAATTTTTTAATTTTATAAACTAAGTTATATGTCAAAAGTGATCATCGCAAGCAAAAGAGATTACCTTTGTAATAATCCTGCAAGTAAATTTTCTGCGACAGCCCAAAGTCAGCGATCTTGACGATCATCTGATCGTTAATGAGACAATTGCGTGTCGCTAAATCACGGTGGACAAACTTCCGATCGGACAGGTACACCATGCCGGATGCCACCTGCAGCGCGATGTTGATCAAATCCATATGTGTGAGCCGCGAGGGTTCAGCCGTGCCGCCGCTCTCATCCGTACTGGATAACACAGACCGAATGATGTAGTTACCGGGCGAGCATGAGCGCAGAAACTCGTTGAGATCGCCACGGCCCATGTATTCGAACAGCAGACACATTGGTCGCCCGAGTGCGCACACGCCGAGCAGTTTGACGATGTTCGGATGGTCAAATTCTGCGAGCAGGCACGCCTCGCGCTCGAAGTCGCGCAGCAGATCATCTGATGCTTCCTCTTTCAGCATCTTCACGGCGACATTTGTGAACTCCTCGCCCGAAACCAGCCCAGGAGCGCGTGCCTGGAACACGCGACCAAAGGCGCCCTGACCAAGATCTCGCACATAGATGATATTATTACGTGGGAACTCCAGCTTCTCCAGCTTGGGATTTAGTTGAGCGCTCGTCTTATGGTACGCTTCGTTGTTCGGCAGTTTGTCCAAATCAATGTTTACGTCCTGCAAAGAGAAATGCTTAAAATAATTATTAGTTAACATAATCGTGAATAGATAGAAAGAATGAATATAAACTTCAAAATATATTAATTATAAATGAAAAAGAAACATAACATCATTATTTATATATATATAATTATATACACAAAAATAAATCAAATATTATCTTCATCAAATTACTTTAATCATTTTCTAATATATATATAATAATTTCTTAATAATTTTAGAAAGTTTTTTTATAGAATAATCAAAATCAAAGAGTAAACATACTTGATTATCAGTCGGATTATAGCCTCGATGACGTTTGTGCAGTCTTTGGCTCAGAAGAATAGACAATATTACGCCAACCACGATTACAAAGCCCAAAGCAGATAATATGAATACTAGAGTGTTATCAAGTAGAGCGTTCATCATATCTTTCGACTCAATCTCCACTTTAGTGACATTATCTGCAAGAAAAAATATTGAATTATTATTTGATTGCTGCTTATTGTATCAAAGATAAGGAGAATTATCAATTTATTTTAAAAATATTCATAGAAAATATACTCCGCACGAAATGACGAATAAGAAAATATTTTAAATGTTTTTAATCATTTCTCTTTTAATATTTTTAAGTTTTATTGCTAGTAATTCTAATCAGCTTTAATACAATTAAAATGGTTTACTATTATAAAATGAAATTATATATAATTATCGATAAAAAATTCTTGTCTTGATAAGAATAATATACAGTGTGTTTCATTTTAATCTAGCCAGGCGAATATTTTAAACGCTGTTGAGTTTAGAGAAAAATGTTTCAGACAAAAGTTGTAGGGTTCGGAGGGGGACACAAGATGGTGGGCTTGAGTTTTTGATGAAGGTAAAATTGAAGGTCATATAAAGGTCAACTTTGTTTTTTAAAATGAAATGTAGTATTTTTTATTGCATATTCTGAAAAAACATAAAATTCTGCATTAAAATTGTCTGACACGTTTTTCATGAAAATCCATAATTTTTGAGGAAATTTAGCAATTAAAGAAAAAATGTTTGTTTTTCGTAAAGAGAATCATGCATCAATTTGTACATGTTCATGAACATTTCTCGTTCTTAGAGTTACCCGGAATCAACGGCGTGGACGTGATGAAAATCTGATTCCATCGGGGTGCTTGATTTACGTGAGTCCCCTTGCCTCTCACTTTCGAGGTTGCTAAATTTGCTAAATTTCCTCAAAAATTATGGATTTTCATGAAAAACGTGTCAGACAATTTTAATGCAGAATTTTATATTCTTTCAGAATATGCAATAAAAAATACTACATTTCATTTAAAAAAACAAAGTTGACCTTTATATAACCTTCAAAAACTCAAGCCCACCATCTTGTGTCCCCCTCTGAACCCTACAACTTTTGTCTGAAACATTTTTCTCTAAACTCAACAGCGTTTGAAATATTCGCCTGGCTAGATTAAAATGAAACACCCTGTATAATTATTGATAAAGTATTGCGATTATACCTACCACATACAGGGATATTGCAATGCTCCCAACGTATCACTTGATCGGTCGTAAAGCACCACGGCCTCGGCTCATCGCCGCCCGCGTTTCTACAATAATTCTCACCGTACCGAATTTGTGGGAAGACGTCGGGTAGTGAATGGCTGTGCGGCGTCTGTGCGCTCCACAGCTGACAGTCGAGTCCAGATTGTGTTTTGTTGACCTTACCCATGTAGAATCTGCCGTTGCCCCTGATGCAATCATCTACAGAAATCAGTCAATGTTATGATCAGCAATTAATTTAATAACTATTATAATTAAATGTATTTTACTTTTATTTTATCTTATATTGTAATAATTAATTCTTTATAATTTCAATTATTTTTACAAGAATGAGATTACTTACAAGTAATGACCTCTTCATCCACATCGGTGAGATGTACGTGCGAACAGGTGAGCACTTCCTTGTTAACCCTGGGCAGACTCTCGCACTCTGGCAACGTAAAGTGTCCACGTGAACGAATGTAAACATTTCGCTGCTTGTTGTCTTCGATTACTGCCCACTGTGTGAAGCAAAACTGCTGACGCACTGCCATGCAGTCTTCATAGCACAGAGGCAGACCGACTGACTCATGACACAGTGGAAATGCATACATACATAGCATCTTCTGCAATTAACAAAAAAAAAAAAATTTTTTTTCTACTTAAACACTTGTCTGATGAAACTCTTTATTATACTCTAAAGTTAAAAATTACTAAGTATATTTAAATTTTCAAAAATTTTAGTAACATTAATTGTTAGTCTATTCATCAGTAGTTATTAGGCAATTGACTTCAATATTCTTATACAATTTAAAGCTGATTATAAAATGTTGTACCTCTGCAGCTGAGCGACATGGTTCGTCTAATGTCTCAATTAATTCTTCCCAGAGATTTGATGTGATCTTCTCGTTCAGCCATCCACCAGGATTATCATTGGAATCGTTGAACCACACTTTTCCAATACCAGTGAGATACTTCTTGCAAATCTTGCCACTATATGGAGCACAGTAACCTTGCGATTCTGGCTCTGATAAGAATAAAGAAACAAATCAACATTTAACATTACAATATACATTTTCACATCAGAAATATAATTGCAAGAATACTTACTTGCTTGTATGGAATCGAAGCGCAGGAATATCGCCAGCGAATAAACAACAGCCCAAAACACCATTATTTACAGTCATCTATATATACATACATATATACACATGTGTATATTTAAATATACGTAGATCTATGTATATATATGTCGTAGCGATGCAAACCCGGAAGGAGGTTCACATGCTTAATAAAAAACCGGAGTTTGTGAGGTCTGCAAACGTTCTCTCCTGGTTCTGCTTAGCGGTTACATCGAGCCGTTCTGATCGATTGACGGAGACGCGATAACTGTATTTTCGGAGGAATAATGTATTATACCATTCCATCACGAGCAACGCGAATAATCGTGCACATGAAGCTTGCGTGCGGTGATTCCTAAATATTGATATACTAGCGGCGCCGAGTAACGGATCAAACAGGATTAGATCATGGCGGTAAACTGTCGATTCGTCAGATAGAGGTTACAATGAAGCTACTGTCGATTCGTTAGATAGAGGTTACAATGAAGCTACTGTACTTTATGATAGCTATATATATGTATATATGTACGATTCCTCTGCGCATTTATTTTTAATCACACAATTTGTCGAAGTAAATAAACGAATGTAGGAATTATTCGTAATATCGTACTTTGAGACATATATCAATATATTTAAATAATCATACGCTATTTTTTGGAAGATATATGAAAAGGGACGCTTGATCCGACCATTTCAATTTCGCGCAAAATGTTTACTTAGGGAATGTTATTTATTTTTGTGCCTACACTGTGCAGTGTTGCTAGACGGGACGCTTTTTTTCACGAACGCACTTGAGAATCGGCCTCAACGGTGTACTAATTGAGGAAAAAAAAAGGCACTTGTAGACCCTTCTATTAAAAATTATTAGAAAATTTTGTTTATCGTTAAAAAGTGATAAAAAGTAATAAAATAATAATAAATTAAACGCATGTAAATATTATGTTTATTTTTATAATAATAAAATAATTAATAAAATTTAATGTACATATAATAATGTAAATATAATATATATAAAATTAA